CATACTGACATCTATAGCTGGTCATAAACACATACTATTAATATTCAATGAGAGCAGATCAACACCGTTAATGACTGTTTACAACAAATTAGAATAGAGAATAATGATCTTTTATTAAATTGTTTATGATTGTAGTACACGACTACCGTAAAGCATTATCGTTTTCCGTCGTAATCTATTGATATTTGACGGCGTGCGCTCGTTCATGATTGATTTCGGATGCTTTCAATACATCATTGGCTTTATCAGATGATACGGGCGATGAATTGCAAACAAGGTCATCGATTTGTTCGAGTGATAAACCTTTCGTCTCCCAAATGCAGAACTTAGCAAAGAGAAGACAGCCGATACACATTGAACCCCAGAGAAAAAACACTTTGGAGCCCATGTTCCCTTTGTCTGCATCAACCATGTATGGTGTAACATAGCCAAGAGCAAAATTACACAGCCAATTGGAAGCGGTTGATAGAGACATGCACTTTGCTCGAATAGCTAAAGGATAAAGTTCTCCTGTAACAACCCATGCAGCTGGACCCCATGTAGAAGCGAAGAAGGCGATGAAGATACAAACAAATGCAACAAGTGTCTTTTGAAAAACTGCGTTTGACTGATCCACAATGATACTACTGATAGCAATAATATATTGACAGACTAGCATACCGGCAGCACCAATAATGAGAATTTTGCGTCGACCAATCTTATCCATAAGCAACATGCCAGGAATTGTCATACAGACGTTGATAAGATTTATCACAATCGTTACGAAAAAAGGTTGTTGAATGCCGGAAGAATGGAAGAAAGATGTACCATAATACATGATGAAGTTGATACCAGTCAATTGTTGCCATGCTTGAAGAAAAATGCCAACCAAAGTTCGAAAAAGATTCTTTTGTGGGCCCATTTTGAAACAGTCAGCATAAGTGCTAGAATCATATTTCGACGTTAACTCCATATTGGCAATGATCTCGTCGATGTCAGTGTCGAGATTCTCATCAACAGCTGCACTCCAATTAAGTTTCGCTTGTGCTTGATGGGCTCGTCCAAAATCACCCTTCAAAACAAGATATCGAGGCGATTCAGGAAGAAAGAACATACCAATAGCAAGTATAGCAGCCAAAATTAATTGGATACCAATAGGAATTCGATAGCAAGCATGGGAATGAATGTCTTTGGTCTCATTATTGGCAATAGCAGCTAAAAGAAAGCCTATAGTAATGAGCCATTGATAAGCCGAAACGAGAGTGCCTCGAATCCATTTAGGAGCACATTCCGATTGATATATAGGAACAATGCATGATATCAAGCCAACACCAAGTCCTGCAACAACGCGTCCTACGGCGAAGAGAGGAATTGCGGTAGCGACTACTTGAAATGAAACACCGATTGAGAAAATCAAGCATGCCACAATTAATCCCCAACGACGACCGAGAAAATCACCAGCTGGATAACCAAGCAATGCGCCAAAGAATGTGCCTGCTGATAAGATAGACACAATCAAACTTTTGTCCCGTGAAGTAAGCTGATATGTTCCATCCAACTGACGGTGACCAAATGTCTGAAGAAAATAATTCATATCAATGATTCCAGAGATCGTACCAGTATCATATCCATACAATAGACCACCAAAGGCAGCGAAAACCGAAACGAAGATAGCCATCGGATTTCGTCGAAGTTGTTCGATTAACTTATACATTTTAGAGAATTATGAGGTGTAAATAACGACAATGTACGATGGAATTTGCGGTCTAAATATAGAAAGAAAGCTAAAAAAAGACAAAAGTCATCTATTTCGAGAAGCATTTTCTTTCTAGAAAAAAAAAAGAATCTTATTTCCTACCTGATCTACTGTAAAAAGATGAAGTCTAAAGTCGTAAACTTACTGTCTGTTTATCCGTTAAAATACTTTCTCTATTCGAAAATAGGCGTATCTTCTTGTAAAATTGAAAGAGTTAAGTTTATTCATCTCAAAAAGTTGAAACGTGGTGGATTTGTTATCAAACTGCGTCTTTATTTCATTATGACTCTTTTGTAATTCATAAAACATGTTTTCTATCTGAGCATTGTCTGTTTGGTATGTTAATGTATAACCTTTTCCAAGAAATTCGTAAGAAAAACTCCTCGTTTAAATTTAGACAATCGTTTTATAGATATGAAGTGCAAATTATACTCATAGACTATAGCGAACCATGAGAGTCAACAAAGTTGTATCTATTTGCATTTATTCCATCTAATCACCTCTAACCGTCGCTCTGCAAGTCAAACGGAATTTTTCATGGATTAGTAAAATAAATGTTAACATTATCATTTATATGCACACGAAGAGTTTTCGAAGAAGTAATCAACAAATTTTGCTTAGCAAAAAAAACATTTGCATTAAGAAAATAAGCCTGAGAAACAATTCAGTTTCATACGAATTGCACACAGAAATACTTTTTGGATTAAGCGTTCTCATTTTATTCTGCAAAGCTGACTACTAATTGAAATTACTTTATTTATGGACCTTGTTTTTTGATAAAGTCGTTTTTTTTTTATAGTACAACCTTCAATTTTGAGAAAATTTACATTCCGCTCTCTACTTCATTCGATAAAGATACAATAAGCAACTCTTAAGAGTAGATTAACATAGAGTAGGAATATCTAATGCAGTCAAAATCTTTTGAGAATCTATGATAATCTCATATCTTTCAAAAACATATAAAAATAGTTCGTGAATCCACAGTGATTTTAAAGTGTATTTTTTATCAAAGTTGTTTTGAAAAGTTATCACATAATTTGAAATGCTACCAATATTTTTGGACTTTAATTTTCCAAATTTTCGTGTCATCAGACAGCTTAACTTCTTACTGTTCAAGAAAGTAAATTGTATTAATAAAGTGGAATCATATCAAAGAGAAGGCAATGATTTATTAATACCTACAGCAAATAAAAAAAATTAGTGATCAAACTCATGTACTATGTCTTTTTTCAGATGTATATAAATAACTTTCCTACAGTACAGCAAATTATTTTATTCAACTCTATTCACCTGTAAACTTTATTTTACTTTTATGAGACAAAAAACAGATAACTGTATATTTTAGTACAAAATATAGAAAGATACAATGGTTGGAATATGAGAGAATAAGATGAGACCTCGAGTGAATCAAAAAATGTCACGCATTACCTTGAAGACAGTAGACGGAAAATGATTCACCGCACGCGTTGGTTGAAAATGAAATTAACAATACTACGAAAGCTACCATGTGCAGATGGTCTTTATACTTGATTCAGTTTTTTTTCTGCCTATGAATGATAAAAATAAGTATTCTTTTCTCTAAGCATGTAATGCAGCTGAATACTCACTCAACCATAGTAAATACTATACATATAATCACCTATATACATAACGATTGTTTTAGACACCGTGTAGAGAAAAAAGACGGTTCGATTACACATGCTTATTCCCATGTGGCGAAAGCCAGGTGTACATGTTGTTTTTTGCTTTATTCACATTGATATACACACATTTCTACTTAACATGTGTTTGACTAATGTTAAGTTCTGTTCAGAAGTCATATGATAATTATCTATCAGTAACTCAAATCAAAAGGCATTAATCCTCTAAAGCAAAATGAGTTCTATTATCAGTGATCAAAATAAAGTGTTTCGAAATTGAAGCAGCCCATTACATGAGATCTATTGTTCTATTGATTATCGATGATGAAAACGATGAATGAAGTCTAAAAATATTAGCATGAATACCATATATTGTTCAATATGAATTGTCTCACCAGATGAATTCAATATTGTATGTTAAGTTCTCAATATTGAAGCATAAAATTTATTTTCTACTATTCGTCATCCTTCCTAAAAATCAAAGAAATATATACGCTTTCTCGTAAAATTGTTCACTTTATGGAAGAAAATAGAAAACTGAACTAAACATACATTATTGTGCTGATAGAAAAATAGATTCTCGACGCACCTGACAACTTCAATCTATCAAGTTAGAGTTCAAATGCATTGATTTCTCAAATAGAAATTAGTTTCAGCTCGTGTAGTTCAGTAGCACATATATACGACTTCTGATTATTGATTTGCCGTTTCAAAATCTTCACATGTTACACTTTGTTTAAACTAGATTTTTGTCATTCTACAGAGCTCAGTGAGTACAGCATCTGGTAAGAAGGGTTCGTCCCTCATACTAAACTTTCAAAGGATGACAAACTACTAGATCTTATGAGTAAATTTATCTTTAAAAACTCATTTTTAATTCAAACAATAAAGATTTCATCTGAAACACTGATACAATAATGTGGTTTAATGCTAAAAAAATATTTTACTCAAAAAAACAAACTTTTTATACTCAACTTACATGTCTTTGACTGACATAATTCACATTTAACCAAAACTGATTCATAATAAGAAACAGAATTACATAGAAGTAATGCTTGAAAGACTTTTTAACATACACAACCATCCTTGATAAATATTTAATGAAAATAGAGGAAAACATTCTATTTTCCATTTAGTAATAAGAGGTATGAATTGTCAAATAAAGATATATATAGTGAATATGTCAAGTTCACACCAGATATGAAAATCATTGCAGAAGAAACGAGTAAAATATAATTCTCTATTGGAATAATAAAAATGAGCTGAGAGATCGGAGATTTCCAGTCTTGATGGGCTTCTCTATGACAAACGCGAACATTGATGGATTTTTCGACCAAATTTCTGTCCTAAAGAATAGAACTGATGTCTAACAGAGTTTGATTCAACAAAAACAATCAATTCCTATTAAATCATCTAACGA